AAATTCTCAGTAGTAGCACGGAGTCTGGAACTGTGCCCGGTATATGGCAATAGGCTCACCCCCTATTACATGGGACTCATAACATAAATAGTGAAAAGTGGGTGTTACATTGTACAGTGGTATAATGTGCACCCCTGCCTACCCCTTTGAGGATAAAAGGCATGATGTTATGTTATGTTATGTTCCTTTTTAAAAGGCCGGCAACGCACCTATGACTTCTCTGATGTTGCCGGTGTCCATTCGCGGTGCTGATCGTTTACCACCAGGTGATCCGTCTACTCGTTTGCCTCCTATTCCATAAAAAAAAGTTTCTTCATGGTATTTTCCTTCACCGTTTATCAGTGGTGTCTAAATAATCTTAGAAAGTACATATAACTCTGAAAAAGTCACATTGGTACTTACCATTGGTAATCTTAAACCTCCGAGTCACTACGACAGACAACAACAAAATAAAAAAAAAATACCACATCAATTCATTCTCAGCTGCGTGGCAAATCATTCACACCTCTGATAAGTTGCCAGAGGGAACTGTAGAACTGTGGGACTCCATAATTTGTGTAATGAACATGGATTCGAACCCCACACTCATCACTATTCCTTTAGGATGGGACTATACAATATAGAAACCATTTCTATGGTGCCTATGTACCTATGTACTTTAGTATTAGTAGTAGGGTGAATAAAGAAAGATGTTTTAGATAGAGAATCTAGTTGTTGTTGTTTGTTTTTAATGCGTATTGTCTTTGTTGATACATAATTTAAGATATTTGAATGAAATGACCTACTTACTCGAACCAGAAGCCAAATTAGATTATCAATTGCTTAACATTCAACCAACGATGCAGCCTTTTTTAATATTTTTTATTCAACTACAAAACCAAATAAAAATACAAACAAAACCCCAAAAATGTTTCACGAAACCTCCTACAGCCTACAACGTACGCTGCCTTAAAAGTTGGTGGAAAATTCATTTATTATTTAGGCAACCTTCGCTAGATGGCGTTAAGGTAAATGTATTAAAAAGCCAATCCCGAGCAATTACTAAAGCCGCCGGTGGTAATCCTAGCTGAGTGCGCTAAAGTGTTTAAGGTTTTCTTCACAACGGGAATTTGAAATTGATCAATAAACTTTAGATATAAATTAAAGATAGAATTAGGTTATTTGCTAGATCAAGGGCGTTGAAAAAGGGGACGTATTGACACTTAGAAATGATTGAAGTACGTAATGTCACTTGTTTGCACCAAAATGTAAGCGGTGTATTTACGTGTGCGTGTACTTGCAACACCGTAATGTATGAAGTGTCACCGCAACTGTCATGGTGGCTCGGAGGTTTAAGACGCCTGCTTCTCATGTATGAGGGTGCGGGTCCGAAACCTACCAACGGCAAGTACCAATGTGACTTTTTCCGAGTTATATGTACTTTCTAAGACTATTTAGACACCACTGACAAACGGTGAAGGAAAAACATCGTGAGGTAACCTGGGCTTATAATTTCTAATTATAAGTTTGAAATCGCCAACCCGCATTGAGCAAGCGTGGTGATTAATGCTCTAACCTTCTCCGTGTGAGAAGAGGCTTTGTTCAGCAGTGGGCATTTATAGGCTGTTGATGATGAATGTATGAAGTGTAATGACGGGCCATGTCACGCCACAGATGTCCTTCGTGTCAATGTGTGTGTATTCTGCGTGTAAGTCTATAGTAGCCAGGTGCCACAGTTGTTGTTTCAAGAGACTGTATTCGCGTTTTTTCAACATCTTTATGTTAGATATCTATTAAAGTATTATATGTCTCATTGCGTGTCAACACAGATTTGCCATCAACCTTGCTCTTGTTGCTCTTTGCGTGTAGTAAAAGCAGACGACTGTCCTTTTAAACTGTGCTTGCCATAGATATAATAAAGTGATGCTTGTTAACTGACCTGATAAGAGTAGAGACAAATCCTCTTTAACAGGAGAGGTCCAAAAGTAAGCAACCAAAGATGTTGGAAGAAAGGCGAACAGTCTTTTGAAATAAAGACTGTGGCACCTACAGCTGTAGCCAAATGCGATTTAGCGCTTGTCTACTTGTAGAGTAGAAAACTAAATTATATGGGATTGACGTAAATTTTGACACTTGGTAGTGTCATCCACATACATTAAGTTTTCTACTCTCTCTCTGTAGACAAGCGTTAAAGTGGCGTTTGGCTAAAGGCGCTGTTTACTATATACTTACATAACATCATAAAACGACGCCTTTTACTCCCGGTAATCAGAGGTGTGCATTACGGCACTTTATGCCAATGTACAATGTAACACCCACTTTTCACTACTTATTTTATGAGTCCCATGTAATATGGAGTGAGCCTATTGCCATATACCGGGCACAATTCCAGACTCCGTGCGACAAATGAGAATTATTTTTAAAAACCCAGTAATAGTTTGCCCTACCCGGGAATCGAACTCAAGACCCCTTGCTCGGTAGTCGCACTTGCAACCACTTGGCCAACGAGGCACTCACTATACACTTACACGCAGAACATAAACACATTGACACGAAGGGCATCTTTTTTAAGTCTGGTAACGTGGTAACCCATTACACACGCACACATAAAAAAAACCACTGACATTTTGATGCTTCAATCGTTTCTAAGCGAGATTGAGCAAGCGTGGTGATTAATGCTCAAATCTTCTCCCTGTGTGAAGTGGCTTTGATCACCAGTGGGTCTATAATTGTTGTTGATGATGATGATGAGAGCACAGTTAAGTCACGGAATATTTAGAAGACGCTGCTGCCTATTCCTTCCTCGGCTTCCCGGCGAGTTATACCATATTTTGAGTTAAAAATAAAGGCAATTTTGCGTCGAAACTTATATGTACCACAGTATGAATCAGGCTTTATTTCGCATGCCCTAAGTGATTAGTAATTTAAGCTAAAATTCAGAACGTCAAAGGATATGGATAGCTAGGTGCTAAGTCATCTTAGAAGAACATAGACCCCTAAAAGTTTCTCGACTCTATCGATAGATGGCGTTATTTTTTTGTTACATTTTGCTCGTTTTTATCAGTGGATTTTATTCCATCGGTATGATGGAATATTATGATGTATGTAAGTATTGTTGACCTTGCGTCATAACATAATAACATCACGCCTTTTTTCCCCGAAGGGGTAGGCAGAAGTGTACATTATGCCACTGTACAATGTAACACCCACTTTTCACTATTTATGTTATAAGTCCCATGTAATAGGGGGTAAGCTTATTGCCATATACCGAGCACAATTCCAGACTCCGTGCTACTACTGAGAATTTTTAAAACCCAGTAATACTTTGACCGACCCGGGAATTGAACCCGAGATCCCTTGTCCAGCAATCGCACTTGCGACCACTCGGCCAACGAGGCAGTCATCCCTTGCGTCATCCCCATACATTATCTGCTATTCTAATAACGATATTGCTTCTAATTTGGCTAGGAACACAGATCTTGTTTAAGACGATTTTGCTTTGTGATCTCACAGCCTCCGTGGCGCAATGGCTAGCGCGTTCGGCTGTTAACCGAAAGGTTGGTGGTTCGAGCCCACCCGGGGGCGATTTCTTTTACACTATTTTTTTAAATGGGTAGACCTCTTTCTCAACTGATGGTAAGCGATGATGCGTCCTATGATGAAGCACGCCTGCTCATAAATAAACAATTTATTGGAGACTTGAAGACAACCATTGGGACGCAGGCTCAGTCAAAGAGTCCCACTTCTTTGACTGTTTGCACAAGGAAACCTGAAACTCTTATTGTTTTATCATTACTTACTGCTGTTCCCATGTCTACTAGGAATTTATTCATTCATTTATTTATTTACTAGCTTTTACCCGCGGCTTCGCTCACGTCACAAATGAATAAAAAGTAGCCTATGTGACATATACCAATACACACAGCGCCATCTATACCAATACTTTTGTTTTTCCTCGGGAATATAATTTTTTTCCGGGTTAAAAAGTACCCTATTATTTAATCCGGACTTCTAACTTTACGTCTGCAAAAATTCAAAGCAATCGGTTGAGTAGTTACGGCGTGAAGGTGGAACAAACAAACAAACAAACAAAGTCACTTTTAGATTTACAATATTATATAGTAAGGCTTTATGTACACACATATAACATAAAGGACAACACATATATATAATTAAAGTACAAAGGTACCTATTCCTACTGGAATTTCTTCCTGTGGACCTGGGGCAGGAAAAGTAATAATAATAATGATACAGTGTGTAGTAACAAATAGAAAATTGGGATAGGAAACAGATTAGTTTACCTAAGCATGATCAAAATTTTGTGTTGTTAACAAAAATGATGTGAAAATATACACTAAGCGACATTACCTTCACCACAAATATCTGGTCATAATTCTTATCGATTCGCCTCAAGGACGTTTTTCATAATAATTATCGTGAGACATACTAAATTAACTAAAAGTTGCGCGTACTCACATGAATATACTGAGAAAAGATCTAGTAGTATCAGTGTCAGTATCAATAGGCTGCGCGACAACGCCGCGACCGCGCACACTGCTCATGAGGAAGAACCCCCATGTGGCTAGTAATTAGTCGACCTTTTCTCAGTATTTTCACGTGATTTTTATTTAATTGTCTCAAAGACGTAGAAAATTTCAACGTCCATGGTCCTTGTTTCGTCTGTAAAAAGAACTAAGACATCCATCCTACCAAAGAGTTTGACAAAGAAGTAGTATACGACAATAATTCGATGCATAAAATAAAAGAAAATAATAAGAATTTTTGACAACTCAAAATTCTGTCACAAACCTTAAACCAAAGAAATCATGATAATAATTAAGTAATTCAGTTAAATAACCCAATAGACAAAAATGGATTCACTAATAACATTAAGGAAAATTAGCAGAATTGAAATAGTATGTCGGAGAACGTTATAAAATATTTTCTTAACAGAAACAGACGAAATTTATTAATGATAACCTCAAAACAGAAGAACTAGAAAATTTTAATAAAACAGCAAAATGTTTAACGAAGACGGTAATTTTTTTTGTATAAATCATAACATTATGCCTTTAATCCCCGAAGGGGTAGGCAGAGGTGTACACTATGCCACTGTACAACTTATAATTAGAAATTATAAGCCCAGGTTTCCTCACGATGTTTTCCTTCACCGTTTGTCAGTGGTGTCTAAATAATTTTAGAAAGTACATATAACTAGGAAAAAGTCACATTGGTACTTGCCGTTGGTAGGTTTCGAACCCTCATGTACTTATGAGAAGCGGGTGTCTTAAGCCTCCAGGCCACATCGACTATTAAATCGTGTAACATAAAAAATATTTTTAATGTGTTCTACAGATGATGAGGAGGCCACTATGGGTGCCGTCAGGTACCCAGTCATGCCATCGCTAGTGGCTCTGCAGCAGATGAGAAACAGAATGCATCTCGCATACCTTGGCAAGAAGTTAATGAAGTGGACCGCTATGGCTACTAGCAAAGAGCTTAGAAGAATAGCTGTCGAAATTTCAAAGTAAGCTGTACTTTAAGTAGTAATAATATTTTTGTGGTTATCACTCACATAGGGTTGCCACCTTTTATTTTGGTATTTAAAGTACATTGACGATTATAGATAAGAAAAAAAAGTACATAGTCAAAAATACAGTACAATTTATTATTATTTAGTATTATATTTAAAATTAGGTATACTTTTTATTGCTTTTTGCAGTTTGTATTAAATTAGTATCTTTACTAAACAATTGCATTGAAATATTAAACAATTGCATCTTTACTAGAAATTGTCTAAGTGGCGCTGGCGAGTGGCGAAATCTATTCAACATAAGTCGATAAATATCGATATCGAATTTTGCAAAAATAAAGTATTTTCGTGTACTTTATTATTCTTATAAAGTATAAAGTACAATCACCTTAAATAACGTACAATACTTTATTATAAAGTACGGGTGGCTCCTCGTCTCCATTTTTCCAATACCCAATTTTTTATGGTAGGTATAAACCTGTAAATGAGCTGACGTATCGGATTGCTTACCATCAGGAGATCCGTCTGCTCGTTTACCAGCTTGTCCCATCAAACACCTGATATATGATGATAGAACCATGTTATTATAGAGGTAATTATTTTTACGGTGCATCGCGTTCCGCGCGCGCCTCAATGAGCCAATAGACCACCACAGATTGGGCTGAACAGGGCTGACGCCGATACGGATCCGTGGTGGACTTAACGGGTTGCCGGGGCTCCGGCGCGAAGTACAGAAGTAGGAACGGGATGGTTTTTAGTCAGTAAGAGTCTGACACTCGCTCTCACCTCTCCCAGGCGGGAGAAGTCATTGGATAATTTTCCCCTTAAATATATTTAATTATTTGGTTTCAGTGCCCTCAAAGAATATGGTACCAAGATGCAGTTGGGCTTCATTTTATTGGCTAGAGCAAGATATTTTGTCCCGCACATAAATACTACGGTGTTGGAGTGCATACCCAAAATCGTGAGTAGTAATTATTATATCCATCACGACCTTAAAATGTTTGAATGTCATGGATGTTTGGATGTTTGGATGTTTGGATGTTTGGATGATTGGATGTTTGGATGTTTGGATGTTTGGATGTTTGGATATTTGGATGTTTGGCGGTTTGGATGTTTGGATATTTGAATGTTTGGCAGAATGAATGTATAGATGTGTGGAATTGATATGGATGTATGCATGTATCGATAAATGGTTGTCGGTCTTGATCACTTTTACGCAAAAACTACTAATATCTTAATAAAGTTTGATGTACAAAGTACTAGTCTTGTCTGGAATATTGCTATCGGTAATTTTTTTCTGCAAACGCGGATGAAGTCGTTGTCGGAAGCGAGGGTGTAGTTTTAATTTTAAGAAAATGCGAATACCAACATTTTTTTTAAGGGGGGGGAATCATCGAATGTCTGCTCCCGCCTGGGTGAGGCGGGAGGGAGTGTCCGCTCGGGTCTGGTTCTGGTCGGACAGTGAGCTCATGCTCGCCGTCCGCAGGCCCGCGGTTATGGTGGCCGGAGATCGTTTCTTACACACATTTTTTTTTAAGGGGGGATAATCAACGAATGTCTTCTCCCACCTGGGTGAGGCGGGAGGGAGTGTCAGACTCTTACTGACTAAAAACCACCCCGTTCCTTCTCCTGTTTTTAACGGTCGGAAAGATTGACTATGTTGTTTTTCAACAACGGAAGTCATTAAAAAAAGTATTAAAAATTTTACTATCGCCCCCGGGTGGGCTCGAACCACCAACCTTTCGGTTAACAGCCGAACGCGCTAGCCATTGCGCCACGGAGGCATATGTTTTCAGCATGTGAAAAGTACACCATGATAATAGTTAATCGTCTGTGTATTTGAACGTAAATAAATTTATAATTCAATAATTAATCATGATAACATAACATGACATCACGCCTTTTTTCTCCGAAGGTGTAGGCAGAGGTGCACTTTATGGCACCCACTCAATGCCGCTGTACAATGTAACACCCACTTTTCACTATTTATGTTATGAGTCCCATGTAATAGGAGTAAGTAAGTCTATTGCCATATACCGGACACAATTCCAGGCTCCGTGCTACTACTAAGATTCTTTTGTAAATCCCAGCAATACTATGCTCGACCCACAAATCGAATCCAAGACCTCTTGCCCGGCAGTCGCACTTGTGACCACTCGGCCATAGACTCAGTTAGCACTAAAATTATTAAAAATAAACAATTATATTGACCTTGATAATAACACTGCCCGACTCGATAAATCAAACTGGAGACTTTATTTTTCGAACTTTGATCCTCTTAACTTGTATGAAAAACCTTCCTCTTAAAACCCTTTCAAGTCCTGAGTGAACAGGTTTCTCATAGGTAGGCGTGCTCCATCGTCGGCCACATCATCGCTGACCATCAGGCGAGATGGTGGTCAAACGTCGACCTATAAAGTGTAAAAAAACCCTGATTCGCACTTGGCCGGTATATTTGATAACTAATATCAATGCCTCCGTGGCGCAATGGCTAGCGCGTTCGGCTGTTAACCGAAAGGTTGGTGGTTCGAGCCCACCCGGGGGCGACTTATTTTTGCACATACAGCCCCAGATTTTTTGGTACTTTTTGAAATGAAATGAAAATGAAATGAAAAGAGTATTATTCGGCATACGGCATGAATGCAAGGAACAAAAAATAACAATACAATACAATTTGATATAATAACTAAAAAAACATTTAACACAAGAGAGTGTGAATAAAAAGATAAAAGCTAAATTATAAAACCAGAAGATAATAAAAATCGGTAGGTATAATATAAGTTCTACGCGATATTCCGCGCAATTCAAGTGTGGGAGAGCCATGCTTCGGCACGAATCGGCCGGCTCGATCGGAGTGATACCACCGCCTCACAGAAAACCGACGTGAAGCAACGCTTGCGTTGTGTTTCGTCGTGTGAGTGAGGTTACCGGAGGCCCAATTACCTTCCCCTTCCCCAATCTCCCCTATCCCTGAATCCCCAACGATCCTCAAACTCCTAATTCCCAAAAAGCCGGTGAAGCACTTGTGTCGCCTCTGGTGTTCCAGGTGTCCATGGGTGACGCCGATTGCTTACTATCAGGTGATCCGTCTGCTCGTTTACCGGCTTATGCCATAAAAAAAAATATTGGCAGATATAGATTTTTAACATTACATTACATTTCTTTTTTCAAGTTAAGCACTTCATTCTAAAGTCTAATATGTAGTTCTCTACCTCTATACACTGAAGTTTCAAAATTGTATTCAAAATACGAATTTACTTGAAAAGTACTTCCTACAAGGGAAAATCAAATTGCAAATATTAAAAAAAAAAGCATAATTATATTAGTCTAACCTTTTTCGAGATTTGCGCTTGTGACACGGCATTTATTCATTCCCTATTTAATAAACGTAATTATTTTAAAATACATCAAAATTAGTCTAGCCGTTTTCGAGATTTGCGCTCAATAATACGACATTTTATTTATAACTAATTTTAATCTAGATAATTAATTAACATAACACAACGTAACATCACGCCTTTTATCCCCGAAGGGGTAGGCAGAGGTGTACATTATGCCACTGTACAATGTAACACCCACTTTCCACTATTTATGTTATAAGTCCCATGTAATAAGGGGTGAGCCTATTACCATATACCGGGCACAATTCCAGACTCCGTGCTACAACTGTAAATTTTTTGAAAAACCTAGTAATACTTTACCCGGGAATCGAACCTGAGAAACCCTTGCCCGGCAGTCGCACTCGGCCAATGAGGAAGTCGATAATTAATTAAATATACCATTTTATCGCAACAATGTTAAAAGATAAAACAGCGTGTTCTAGTTATATTTTATCTTAATAGTTTTTTTAATCGGTTTTGACGAATATTTGTTATCTTTTTATGGAAAACACGTAAAGATAATTTAATTAGTCGTATTTTCTTGATGATTACAAACAGAAACAACGAAACAAATACATCTTACTAATTACTACATAGTACCTATAAAACTAAGTCGCTATAAGCCATCTGTAGAGGTAGGTATGTCCCTATGTATGCTTAAATTGTGTTATAATTATTGTAGTTACTAGCTTTTACCAGCGGTTTCGCTCGCGTCACAAAAGGATAAAAAGTAGCCTATGTGACCATATACCAATACACACAGCGCCATCTATACCAATAATTTCGTTTTTCCTCGAGAATATCAAATTTTTCCGGGATAAAAAGTACCCTATTATTTAATCCAGACTTCTAACTTCACGTCTGCAAAAATTCAAAACAATCGGTTTAGTAGTTACAGCGTAAAAGCGGAACAAACAAAGAAACAAACAAACAAACTCACTTTCCGATATATAATATTAGTAAGGATTACAAATAGAAACAACGAAACAAATACATCCTACTTATCACTACATAGTACCTATAAAACAAGCTCTCTATCCGCCATCTTTTTGTCCCTATGTATGCTTAAATTGTATTATAATTAATGTAGTTATTGTAGTGCATCGAGGATGTTTGCAGTGGCGCAGGTAGACGGCTTCTATGCTATTCTGCGCAAAGGAATTGCATCCCTGATGAGGCGCGTGGGGGGCAGTTCCAACAGTCTCCTGAGTGTGGTGGCAGATCGACTGGATGTCCACTGTTCCATTATGAGGCACTGGACGATGGTTCACGTTACCTGTGAGCCTTCGGCAGGTGCCCTGAAATTTAAAGTTATTTCAGTGGTTTGATTCGGTTTTATTTTATTTTTATTTATTTGGACTCCCAACAAAAGATACACTTACATGCAAAAAAAATAATCCACCACACGTTACAATAACTTTGTGATCCTTCAATTAAAGGGAATCACATCATGCCCACACAAACATTTATAGCAATTGAATGAAATTAGATTAAATTATATTACAGAAATGTCAAGAAAATACAAAAGAAATACAATATCAAAAATCCAAATCATAACATAACAATATAAAACAATTCAAATAAAAAAATATCAAACATTAAAAATATTGGTTGAACAATTCTTAAAATAAGGTCTATATAAAATTAGAAATTAAATGAAATAATCCTTTTTAATAATCCTAAAGGTAATTAAAAGAATTAAAAGAATTTATATTTCACTAACATCACTACATAGTACAGGGAAGGCGAACCTTTACACATAGACGTGCCAATTACTTTGAAGAACATGTTTTACGGTTTTATGTGTGCCATCGACTGATTATTAAATTATATGTTACATTTTGATTATAAGATATTTGACGATAAAATGTCAACTTTATTTCTAAAAATGTTAACTTTTTTTTATCAAACGTTGCTGTGCCCTTACGGGGTCCATAAATGTACTTAGCTTTAAGCGTATTGTAACACCTTATTCACTTTATGGTATGCAAATAAATGAATATAAATATGAATATTACTATTTATGAATGTCAATCAGTAAATAGCAATAAAGTATACAGTTGGCCTGGTAAGCTGTCTCCGCAGTCTGAGTATACCTGCAATATTCGAGACACCACAAATACGTTGTAGGTTTCTGATCATTCATTAGTTTTGTAGTCACTGTCGTGCCCAAAATGTTGTGTTCCGTGCCATCAACGGCACGCGTGCCAATGGTTCGCCATCCTTGACATAGTATAAAACAAAGTCGCTATCCACCGTCTGTCCCTATGTATGCATCTTTAAAACTACGCAACGGTTTTTGATGCGGTTTTTTTAATAGATAGAGTGATTCTTAAGAAAGTTTTATATGTACATTACATGCATATTGCACCCGTACGAAGTCGGGGCGGGTAGCTATTATAAATGCGGAAGTTGGTATGATTGTTAGTTCATCGTCGCCCATGGACACATGAGGCGTTACAAGTGCGTTACCGGCTTTTTGGGGATTAGGAGTTTGAGGATCGATGGGGATTCAGGGATTGGGGAGATTGGGGAAGGGGAGGGTAATTGGGCCTCCGGTAACCTCACTCACACGACGAAA